TAACGAGTTTGATTGGTGTCACAAGTTGAGTGCGTGCCTCCCTCCCCTCACATCCTCCCACAACATCGAATCTTCACTCCACACGTCGCCCTCTCGATTTGGACTTTGCTTCTTTCTTTCTCTTTCGTCTTTCTTCGCTGGCTCAGCTTTTTCGCGTCCGGCTCCGTTCTCTGTTGAGTCGACGAGAGAGAAAGAGAAAGGGCGAGACCATCGCCAGCAGCAGCAGCAACATCAGCGAGCGAGAGCGGCGAATCATTCCTTCTCGTAAGTGAACTCCTCCCGATTCGTGTCGACTCGTGTCTCGTGTCGACTCGTCTCGTCTCGTCTCGTCTCGTCGCGAGCCGATCAGACGGACACACGGGCAACGTCTCTACAATGAACCAATGGCAGCCGGCAGCATGGTTGTGGCCACGTCACGTCGTCGAACGGAGCGTGCGACTGCAGCAGCGGCCAGCCAGCCCGCCAGCCCGCCAAGCTGCCTGCCCGCCCGCCAAAAAACTCCCTGAAACGTGGTTCGCTCGGGCTCCTGCTGCCGAGCTACGTCTACCACTCTTCGAACTCGGTTACTGTAGTCATGTAGGACACGTCCACCCGTCGGCCCTCCTTGGTCGATTGGAATCTTCCGATCTCATCCTGATTTGATGGATGGCGATGATGATGACGATGTCATTTCATGTCATTTTCTCGGCATAACACAATTCATACCGGGCTCGCAACGGTTGATTCGAGTGCCTCCCACCAGCCTTCCCCAGAATCCTCATCCACATTATGTGGAGCATCGCCGACGGAATGGCCAAATTAAACTTCCGCCTTGTTCCCTCGTTCATGAACACTTCTCCATTCCTGCCCTACCAAACCGTAGCCCACCCCTATAATTGGCGAGGACAGGACACGAGAGTAGAGGATGATGAGGTGGGTAGGCCGGATCCAGATCCTTTCGAAGAAGCGCCGGTCCCGCCTACCGGAACAACAACCCGTGTTGGTACGTCGCGCTAACCCGAAGCCAGGCACCTAGAGAAACTTATCCTTTGCTTTACTTTACTTTACTTTACTTTCCGGGCCACAGCATCTTCCTTTGGCTAACATGCAGTTTATGTTTGTCGGACCAAACTTGCCTGGCCAGCCCAGAACCGGCATCTGTTCGATCGACCGGTAATTTTCGCGAGTTACCGACCCGCACGAGAGCGTGCCAGAAATTAATCCGGTTATATCCGGCCTTCACTTTGGCCTTCTAATACGGGGTCTCGGTAAACCTCCCGGCTGCTATTTTCGAGGCACCGGATAGTTCGGATGAACACCGGCGAGCCCAAAACTTCTGGACAGGCTCGGCTCTGAGAACCGAAGTCAAGGAAAGATGAAGACGGAGTAAACTGGAAAGCCATGATGATTGACTGATTGATGGGCACGGGCGAGGGCATAGGGCGAGGCCTTGGTGGAAGAAAAAGGCTATTTACTTTGTCTGAAAGAGAAGCACGTTCTTGAGGCCCGATCGAGTAAATAGAAACGATATCGTGAATAATGAACGAGGAATAGGGTCAATGTGACATGACTGGCTTCGCAAAAGTACAAAGCTTGGAAGGAGGCCAGTGCAATGCACCAATGCAAGGCCAGGCCCTGCCGAAACACCAACATACGGGTCCTGCCCTTGCTCTGTACAAAAAAGGCTTCGAACAGTGTACAAGGGTAGGAGAGGGCTCGGACGAGATGAAGTTGTTAGAGGAGAGCGAGAGGTGGTTGTACCTTCTTGCTCTCACGCCCTCAGTTTAAGAAACTTGCGGATAAGTTCAGACAGCGTACTGTACTTCGCCTCTGCCATGTCATGCCAGTTCAATTCTTTTGGACACTGGTTTGGCGGCTGCCGTTGTTAACATTCTCTCTCCGCCCTCTTACCGCACGCCCGCCCGCCTGCTGCTGGCCGCCAGATGTCTAGTGTCTGTCAACCGCCAAAGTTGGGGCGCCTCCGCTCTGCCGTCCCGCCTCCAGACAGACAGGTACGCTGAATACAGTAGCCAGCGAGGCTCGGCAATCATCGCCAAGCATCACATCGCGGCTTCTGTTTTGTAGGGTGACGGAGCTCAGATCCGACTGACGTACGGCAGTGAAACTGGCCGATGTGATGCTTCCAGAGGAAAAAATAGGCGAGGAAGGTGAAGCAAGGATGCATGTCACGGGTCTCTCTCTCTGGTCACGAAGCGAAATCCGAGTCAAATAGCGAAAAGGATGGGAAGCGCGCGTGTAACGAACAAGTGTGATGAATCGAGCTTCCTCCCTGACCTCCTTCGTTTATAACCCCTAACATGGCAATCAGCAATCCACTCGGCCCTGACCTCCTTTCGAGTTAGCGACTATGACTGACTACTGACCGACCTGCGCTTTATTGATGTTACGGTGCCAGCTTACCCGAAGGACATTAGCCAGCGAGATGTGAAGGCAGTGTTCGTTTTCGAAGACCACGGAGTTTTTAATGAATGGTCACATCAAAACTTTACGTTTTCCAGTGAAGTGCTGACTTCGAATGACGGCCCTTCATTTCAAACCGTTTCAATTAAATTGACCGTATACTAATTCCATATGTTTTGCATTTTCTATCTGTATGAATCGAGATTCGGCTAACCATGAAAGGGGCGGCTGATAGCTACTGCGGATCCATGGGGGAAAAATCAGGACATAAACATAGAGCCAATAGTTATTCACATACTAAAATTTTTATTTGGAATATCATAAATTGAAATGAAAAGATGTGAATGTGACGAGTTGGAAAATACATCAAAATTCGAGCGTGAGAACTGATGTCCACACATTCTTGTTTTGTATTCTCAATGTAAACTGCTTTCATAAGGTTCCAGAGAGTTTATGAAGTTAATTCTGAGATGCAACTTTCAAGAGGAATTTAAGGCTTTGTTGATGTATTAGGAAGGCAAACGAGCACGGGAAGGGAAAAACATTAGAGGCTGGGTGAAAGCAAGGAGAGAGAGGGTGTCACGGGTCAAACAACAATCACTGGCAATTACTTGTTGACCCCGGTGACCACCCTTGGGCGACTTGACTTTCGGTTGATGTTGGCCGTGGTGGGCAGAGGCTTGGGCTGCAGAGAGCCTCCAGTTTCGGTTCTCGATGGCGACCGGAAGAGAACGGGGAGGAAGACAAGCGGAAGAGAAACCAGAATTTCCCCGGGCATGCAAAAGGAGGAGGAGGAGGAAGAAACGCGCAGCGACCAACCAGAGGACGAGTTTGTATAGGAAACACACAGAAACTAAGCTAACGCAAGGGTATGTCGTACAGCATAGACGTCGGAGGTAGGGAGGGGGAGATGGGACGAAGGAGAGGTGGGTCTAGACACTAGAGCCTAGGCCACCACCAGAGCAGTGTGCGTCAGGACGATCGATCGATGATGGATGAAGGCGATGATGCAGGTTCGGGGCCAAAAGGGGAACAGTCGAAGAAAAGGGGAAAACTCCAAGCGGGGCAGGACAGGGAGTAACTGTAGCGGGGGGTTGGGCTGATTGAAAGCAGCAGCTGCGGAGGAGCTGGATCTGAGTTGCTGCATTGCGGTGGTGAGTGAGTGAGTGAGAGAGAGAGAGAGAGAGGAGAAGATTGGCATGAATAATTAGTGTTTTCACCGCCGGGAAAGAAGAGCATTCATCTGGTTGCGGCCGATGTGTTGTTGAGCATGCACATCAAGCTCACCATCTGGGGGAAAAGGTTGGAGGAGCCTAGGGCCGAGGGGTTGTGTGCACCATCGAACCTGCCGCCATGCTAGCGTCGGCTGTGACGTCAGTGCACAGATACGCTAGCAGCAGCGACCTTCTCTGATGCAGTAACCAACAAACACACAGAGAGCGCTTGACACGCCTCTTGGGCCACCAAACACCACTTGGCGTGCACTGCACGTTCTCTTGTTCCTTCCTTCTTCGGGCTGCTGTTCTTCGTTGCCATGTTCCCCCCATCCCCATCCCCGTCCTTCTTCCGCTGCTTCTTCTCCTCCAGCGCGTCGCCCGTCGTCGCTCTGACTCCGTCTTCGTCCCTCTCTCTCTCTCTCTCTCTCTCTCTCTCTCTCCGCTTTCCCCGAAGACTGGAGACGCAGTAGCATCCGTCAAATCTAGGGCGAGAATCAAGCAAAGACTCGCTCGTCAACGATACAGTGGCACTGTATTTGCGGCTGACAAGAAAAAAACTAAATCTAGCTTTTATCTGGCGCACTGTAAGGAACAAGACCTCGTTGTTGGCCAAGGCAAAGGACATACGCAGAAGCAAAGCGTGCGCACAGAGATGTGGACTGGTCCAAGGGTCCAAGGGGGCGGCCCGGCCCGCCCTGTGGCCTGATTGGCTTGATTGCTGGCGGGCTGGCGGGCGGGCGTCTGCTGTGGTGGTCCTGGTCCGGTCAGTACATTCTCCTCCGTCTGCGGCCGATGGTTACGAGGTGAGAGAGGAGATTCGGCGTCGCCCGGGGGAAGTTCTTTTCCATCCGGGCGTGAGGGTGACACTCTGAGTCTTTCGAGCTGCTGCTCGTGATGGAAGATCTTTTGATCGCATGCCCGGTCTCGGCGATTCCTGCTCGCAACGCGACCGAGAGACAATCTTATCCGGCCACAAGGCTGGCTCCTTGTCTGACACGAAAGCCTCAGAATCTCAGCCAAGAGATTTCCTGGCAAGCAGGCGTACGTTTTTCTTCTGGCTTGCGCGTCGCGTCTGCCACTGCCTCTGCCTCTGCCTGCTTCGAATCCTTGATTCGTCGCTCCGTGTGCTCCCGTGGACTTTGCAATCCGTGTTTCAATCACGTCATTTGCCGTTGTCGTCAAAATTCCTCTCGCAGTCGAATGCTGGCCCTGGGGCGAAGCAGACGCTGTCAAAGACATTCAACAAGCATCTCGCTAAAATCGCGACTTTCTACCATCGGCTCTGGTCGTCCGGCGGGACGGCGTGCAGCCACACACACTCTCACACATTCACACATTCATCCAGTCAAACCACCACAAGCAATTGGAGAATCACACCGAGGACAATAATAATTCACAGTGAACACTTTATCACGGGTTTAACGTCTGTACAAGGAAAATTCCCACTAACACTTCCGACTCTACAGCTCGTGTGTAATATACAGCTTATTGCACCAGACTACCGTCTGCACTAGAAACGCGCAGAAATTGTGGCCTAGAATGCAAATTAGAATGCAAATTAAGGGTGACACATAAGGTGACGATTCTCCTAATGGTGATTACCAAGACAGCAACCTTATTTCTAACTGTCATCAATTCCACTGTAATTATACAATGGCAGCTCGTGAGCGACTATGGCAATCAGGGCATTCTAAAGGCTGCACGACTGGCTTGTACATGTCGCAGCTTGCCAGGATGTTGTGGCCGCCACAACCACAATGACGTGTTCTTCACAGTCGGAAGAAACAAGGATGCCTATGCCTATCTACTACAGATCTACTGAAGATCGCTGTAAATGCCGAGGTCGCAATGCCAACTGCTCGAGATCAACGCACAATGGGGGTACTCCAAAAGCAGTTTGCCGGCCAACCTTGGGCAAAAGAGACTAGAACCACTGAAGACGATGTACTTGAGGACCGGATCCTGTGATGCGGTCCTCGTAACGGTATTGATTTTATTTACATGATCGGGGTAGCAGGTGGCCACGCAGCAACTCTTGAGGTGCCGCTTGGTTTGAGTTGCAAGATCGTGGCAATGTACATTCACCGGAAACGACGACATGCTCCCCGAGCGCAACCTCCGAGACTATTATTTCTGCAATTCGATGTCATTCACCGACCCCCTAGAGCGAGAACATGTGTTTCCCTGTGTATAGCGTACACTTGGAGAATCAACGTGATCGTAAAGTTAACGAATTGTTTGTTTGTACACTGGATTGCGATGACACTACCACCGCCGCCTCAGATTGATCCGCGAGGCTCATATGTAGGTTGTTGCCAATCCTCGTCCGAAACATCCAAATCAGGCTCAACTAATAATTGTACAAGGCCCTAGCTCCGGCCACTGCTGCTGCTGCTGCTGCTGCTGCTGCTCTGTACAGACATCGTAGGCAGCAGCAATCCAGGTGAAATTACTCATACAGTCGGCGCTCTGTGAGGTATGCCTTTCCGCCTCTTGGCAGTCCGTAACGTGGTGGTGGGTGGGGGAGTCCGCGGTGACATGTCCACGTTGAGAGATTGCACGAGACTCGGGCTCACAGCCGGCAGCGACCGCATCTTCGGACTGCTGGCTTCCTCGTGCATTTCGGGCTCGAGATGAGCTTCCGTGCCCGTCACCTGAGGCGCTTGCGGTTGACTCGTCGGAGTACTGCCGCCGCTGATCTTCTTCGACTTCTCCTTCTTCGACGAAGAAGATAGATCGTCCAACTCCGCGCCAGAGCCACTTTGCCTCGTCTGTAGCACGAACGTCATGTCGTGGTTTCGTCTGATGCCTGCGAGCTGCACAACATTCGGAGCAACGAGCAACGAGGGCGTCAGATTGTAATTAAGCTCGAGCGGCGCAATTTGGTCGACTCAGAACCAGACGGTGCCAAATGGCTGCGGGTTCGAGCGCATTAAACAATCGGCTGACGTCGGTCGAATAATTTCAGACTGTACATTACCTTGCAACCGAGGGAGCAGAAACGGAATAAATCGAGTAGGCTTCGTTCGCAGTTCTCGCATTGGTTGGTGACGCCTTTGGATGGCCTCGGCTGGGGTCGTTCGTTGAGGAAGACCACTCTCGCGCTGTTGATTATGTAAGTCTGCACGCCGGTGACGTCCAGCACCTTCGCCAACTCATTGAGCCTTATGACATCATGATACGAGGAGCGGCGAACCTGTACAACAGCATCGAAGAATCGAGAGTGGGTGAGATCGAGTTCAAACCGGCTCCATGACATTTCTACGGACCCTCGCATGCAGTCGATGGCCAACGGATTGGAGCCCCCTCAATTCAAACAGAGTGCAGTGGAGTGCGGGGAATTGGGAGCAGCCAATCCTCGGCGTGATCTCAGACCTCCCACTATTGCACAACAGTAAAATATGCATCGGCTTCACTCGTGCCTCACTCGGGAGACGAAGCAGATCAGAAGGAATCGAAGAGTCACCTGGACGACGTAGTGATCCTTGTGCTCGGGAATGCACACGGAGCAAAGAGCCGCGGACTTGCAATCGAGACAGTACATGTTGCACTCGCTCTTGCCCGAAGCTCCATGAGCGGGGCATGATTTGAAGAATGTAGTGCTCAACAAGGGAATCAACCAGTCCGGATGCAATTCACTGTGCTCGTGGCTGAGAGTATCGGCGATTGGCGCACTCTGAAGAAAAGAGACGAGAAGGCACAACGAGCCCCACGAGTCAGTCATAATCATAAAAGGTTGGAAGATGATGCCGCATGGCAAGCGGCCAAATCACTCAATTCGCATTGCTCGTCAAATGGGGCGAGTCATCGCATCGAGGCCAATGTCCTGACCACCCAGACTAGATTCAACGGAAGCGCTTGCGTCAATTGAAGCGGCAGCTGCGGTTCTCACCATATTCTTCAAGGTCCTCCTAGTCTTCGAATGACTAGTGGTTTGGCGGAGGGGAGCAGATTCGATAGCCAGTTTGACTTGTTGTAAACACCAGAGACGTGTTCGAGCAGAATGTGAAGCAGAATGTGAATCAAGCGTGTTGTGGCAGCACGACGGGATGAGCGCGAGAGGTTTTCTTCTCCAATTTCAGTGCGTTGGAAAGCAATCCATGTCACCAAACTGCAGACCAAGTCCAGCGATCCAATTAGGCACAGCCTGAAACCAAAGAAATGCCCCTAGGCGCGGCTAGAAACTGTCACTGTATAATTCGCCCAGATGACATTCAGTTCACGACACGATGACGACAGTGGGCAAGGCCCCCGCAATACCGTACCTGCTTGCATGCAGTGCTGCGCATTGTTCCCAGGACCTGATTTAGCGACGGAAAATTCCTCGCCTACAAGCTCTCAAAGGCCAATTCACAAAACGAACCGAGACGATCTCTCTAACCAGGCGATCAGAGTACGGGTGGCAATGCAGAGAGCGTTAGCAGCCCGGAACTTCCAAATTACACCGACTGCGAGTCCTAATTGCTCTCAGAGCTTGAAATCTTCCACCTCCAATGCACTAAGACTGAACTACCAAGAGCAGATTGACGAACAAGAGTTTCCGATGCTCTGCGTCACCAAAGCCCACATTCCCCTGATACACACACACCCTGCAATAACTCACTCACTCACTCGGGCCCCGCTTGGCTGAAGCTCAGAAACAAGCAAAGGAGCGCTCACGGTGGGTACTTGTTCTACTTCTGAGAATGCAGAGAGAGAGAGGAGTACTCAAGGCGCAAGGCGGAAGAGGGGAGAGGAGAAATTGTACGAATGCGAGCAGAATGAGAGATAGCTCGTAACCCAACAAGGTCGCTCTCTTTTCTGTTTGTCTCAGCCGCTGCAATCTGAGAAAAAGGGGAGGGGGGGGGGGCGAAAATTGAGGCCGCGACGCGACGGGATGTGGCGTAGAAAAGTCCGCTACACGGAAGGTGGCACCGCAGCGCAGTCTAATTTCCCCTTCGAGTCACCAGCTCCGCTGCGGCTTCTTCCGCAGGGACCTGACCCGGCCCAGCGCGGGGAGCAGTGCGTCCGCCGGACCGAAGGGCGGAAGACAGGAAGTTTTGTTTTTTACCAAACCCGGCTTCCTCCGCTGCGGAAGGACGCGAGGGTTTGGTGAAAAAAACCACCAGAGTACCACACGGGCGCTGTACAGGTGCCCCTGCAGGAAGAAAAAAAGGCTTGCGCCCAATGAGCGGCGGCCACGTACACCGTAAGCCGTCGCCAGAAAAGAGTTCTCCCCGCGCGTCTAGCCCACCGACGCGGGTGAGAGCTATGTCTTACTACCGACAGGGACCCCAGATAACTAAAAGATGAGGACCGTGAATAAAGTATTAATGGTACAACATCTCCCGAGAGAGGCTGCCGACTGGCGATTTTCGGGCTTTTGACCGCGCGTTTTTTCGGGCTCGCCGGGTGGCGCGCCGGTCTGAGTCTGTCGAATTTTCGGCCGGCATTTTCCATGCAGCCTACAACATGCCGGCCGGGTGGTATCCGATCATCCGGCGACGGCCCAGTGCGGGGTGGGCCCCGTCGGACCGAAACATAACGCAAGGCCCTACCCATCAATGGCGTCGGGTTGATCGACCCCTAGGGTCGCGACAACGTACACACGCTACTAGTCCAGATTCGGAACGCTCTCCCGTCTCGCGCCCGCGAGACCGCAGGTCGGGTGCCGTCGGGAAGGACGGACGGACGGACGGACGGCGGGCTGACGGAAAGGAAGGAGAGAATGCAGCCGACCGCTTGGTCTGGCCGCTGGTCATCATATATCACATGGGCGGTGAGCTGCTGTGCGGTAAGGTGAGGGAAGGCTCTCCGAGGTAGGGTGAGCTCCCATTCTCCAACGTTTGCCGCGAGATGATTCCGATGTGGCACCACAAGAGTCACTAACCCAAAGTTTCAATGCGCACACTGTGTAACCCGGTACAGTACAAGTCAAAGGTCGCGGTCCTTCCTTACCTACGTAGTTTGTCGTCTCGATCACTTTACAGGTTCCCCGGCGGATCCTTCTATCCGGTCAATGAGTCTAGACGAAATTACTCCTGCTTCTTAATGTAGCTTGTATTCGGTACTGTATATAAGATTTGCATGCATAGCATAATCCGGATTGCGAGGCAGCACTGAAGAATGTTCTTACTCTACTGCGTAGTGTACTCCTTCCGGAGAGTGGTGTCTTCCCGGCTACACCAAAGAAATAAATTTTCCCCTACTTCCATGTTCCAACCATCCGATGCCTTCACAAGCAAGTTTTGCTGCACCTTTTGGAAAGCTAATAGTCTCACTGTGTACATCTTCTCCTTCGCATACAACATCGTTGCGGATGCGGCCCTGCTCCTGCCTCGCGCCAAAGCTAAAGCTGAAGCCAAGACGCGGGCGTACTTAACTTAGTCGGAACTACGAGTTTTCCTGATCTAATCGCAGCACAGTTTGGAAGCAGTCCAGGTCACCATGGTTGGGCTGGTCTCACCTGAAAAAAGGTTCTTTACCACTTCGTTCCTTACCAGGACTTTTCCTGGAGTACGGTGGCTGCGACTTGTAGCTCAGGTGCGTCACAATGATTGGGCTGGTCTACACAAAGCAAATTACGCGATAAAGCGTAGCTCCGGCGAGGCTACTGTGCTACGAGCACATGTCGCAAAGATTCAACTGTGAAATGTTTTCAGCCCGTGTTTGTCAGACCTACCAGAAGTCACGATGAAGTGTAAATCAAGACCGACAGGTGTGGCGTCTTCCCGGATCTCTCAACGACGTCGACAGGCCTGGGAAGGCGTGATCTCTACCATCTCCATATGTTTATGACTGAATTTATATTTATCATAATTATAGCTCTGCGTTTTAGTTCTTACCGTTAATCGTCGACCATTTGATGCAGCTCGTGCAGTCTGGTCTTTGTTTACCCAAAGCACATAATCACTACAGTAAGATACAATTATGCGCCTCTCCGAAAAATAATATCTGATATGCAGTCTCAATCAAAGCTACAACATGGGGGAAAAAAACTCAACCGTAAGAGTAGGCATGCCTAAGTGTGGTAATCTTCTCGGACTGCACCTTCTGATGGAAAGAAACAAAAGAATGTTGTTCTTACTATCATTTATATTACAAAACATTTTTCTCACGTTGCTCTCGAACAACAAAGCACAGTAACAACAGAAAAGGCGCGATAAACATGTCGTAGGTAGTGGACTTCTTGCGCGTCACCAACAATGAAGAGTATTATCCATTCCATACTCATTGTGTTCTTGATTTGCAGGTCCACAAATATATATATGTAGTCGTGCAGGTTAGATTTCAGGCGTGGTTAATCCTTCAGATATTAGAACCTGCAATTTGCATTATTGTATAAGCCGTTGCAGTGAACTAGAGAAGGTGGACACGTAGGTAGGAGAGTTGACCAAGCCACCCCAGAACTTGACAGAACAGCGTGTCGGTCGAATGAAACCTATGGTCAGCTCTACCGCTGGTTGGGTCTACTGAAGAATTACCTCCGGTCCATACCGCACGGGACTTGTCTGACAGCCACCCTCTCTTCTCTGCCCGCCCGTGTTCGCGCGCGCAGTCGCACACACGTCTCCACCAAGAGTCTCCCCGTACTGTGGAATCTTTCGGCCGCCAGGTCTACCTACTGTGCTGTAATCAGCCCTCATCACCTCTAAGTTGCTCATTTATTTAGCAAATGACGCTATAATTTTTCCTTAATCTTGGCGACCAACTGAGCTCCGGATCTCGAGCGTGACGCCGTGCTACGCGACTCGACCTCGACGCCGCTAGTAGTGAAGCATTTCGGTATAATTTTTCCTTAATCTTGGCGACCAACCAAGCTCCGGATCTGGAGCGTGACGCCGCTAGAAGTGAAGCATTTCGGACAATAAGTCTGAGGATAGTATAATTCCAATGACCAGATGCCACGACCATTTCTTGTAATCTACTCGACCATCTCAAAGCATTTGCTCCTAGCTGCATGGACGCCGCACCACCGATTTCGCCTGGATATCTTGGCTGTGATCTTAGGATTTCATTAAATTAAGCAATTGCATTGTGCATTTCGTAGAACACGGTGTTGATTTGTTTTATATAGACTGCTCTATTTTTCCATTTTGAATTAAATCAAGCAAATCGCGGATCGAAATTGAATTGTGCCTCTCTTAGAACACTGTGTTGATTTGTCTATATACACTATTCTGTTTTTCCATTTTTAATAAAAATTAAACAAATCGCGGATCGAAATGGCATTGTGCCTCTCGTAGATTACGGTGTTGATTTGTCCATATAGACTACTCTGTTTTTCCATTTTTAATAAAAATTAAGCAAATCGTGGATCGAAATGGCATTGTGTCTCTCGTACAACATGGTGTTGATATGTCTTACATACACTACTCTATTTTTCCATTTTTATCACTAATTTAAAAGAGTTAAAATAAAAATAAATAAATATATATATTAGATTTACCAATCTTGGTCTTTTATCTTCAATTACAGCTTCCTATTCAGGAAGGAGGTGGTTGAATGCAAATCAATATCTTACCCTTACATATCAATATCTTTAAAGTAAAGGGTGATCTTAGAAGTGAATGGGAGTAGAATAATCTAAAACCCATAATTTTTTTATAGGCATTTCACACGATTAAATATAAAGCAATCCACACCATAATATAAACAGAAAGGCTACTTGCACCTGAACACAAAATATTTTAATGATGAAGAGCTCTCAGATATCATAACAGATTATCTAGTTTAACTAACATGGATCAAAGTGACAAATTAACTCTAATCTATCTTTCAATTCTTGGGGATTAGCTATATAATTATCCTTAGTAAAGGTCTAAAAGGAAATCTGACACAGATATCTCTCTCAACTAGAAATAATCTGTAGTAAAAAAGACGAACTAAAAATCATATACAGATGTAAAACAACTGTTAATACAATCTACTTGTGTCTCTTATGCAGAATTATCAAAATAGCACAATGTCTTTTAAATCTTTCCAAAGAGATAATTTTTTTACATGAATCTATCCTAGTTGTTGATTAGCTATTGAAAATTCATTTCACAGTTTATTTAAAGCATATCATGGATTGAACATGTAAATGTTCACTCAGTACAAAGCTAGAGCAATATCACATCTAACAAATACCAGCAAATAAAAAATAAGTGTATTCATTGCTTTGTCATAAAAAGTTTATAACATATTTCCTTTCTCAACAGCATCATTTAGACATTAACCTACTAAAAGATTAAAATATATACCATCAAATGAATAAGTCTATCCACTACCTTGTCATAAAAAATTAATAACATCTTTCCTTTCTCAACAGTTTCATTTAGACATTAACCGTGCATTTCACTGTATATCACTTTGCTTCAATCTATACAGTGATTTAAAAAAATTTACTTATTAAATATCTTGATTTACTTTTCTCAAAACTAACTAGTTTTCTCATGTAGATTTCCTCAAACGAAGATCTACACATTAAGGTTGTGCCTATCTTATGAATTATTTAGCTAAATATTACCAAAAATGCATCTAAAAATCTTTTAATTTATTCAAAAAATATGCTATTCAATCTTGCTGCTTTGCTGCCTTAAACATCTTATTCCATATGTGGTCTATGTTGGTATCATAAGCAAGCCAAGCATTCAATTTATTTCGTCTAAAATTGTTATCACAAATTTTAAAACAAATGATAGAATTATTACTTTTTCTTATTCAAATTATTATTTAATTTTTAAAAATATTCTCTTTGATTTATACAAGTATATATTTAATTAACACTTAAATAATTTTTATAACACTAAAATTTATATTAACATTAATAAATAAGA